TAAGTCAGCTGATGAGAAAACATGGGATAAGAGCAAACGGAGCTAACTATGTAGCATCTGGAGAGAAATGGGCTAATTCGCCTCCTCCCTGAAACCATGGTGCTGTAAATATTCTTGGCTTCTATTTTATGATATTTGGACAGTTTGGCAGCATGGAGACTGAGAAGCTTTATCCCTGGGCGGGAGGGTCTAGAACGAGGGGTCACAATCTCAGCAGCATTAACCTGGTAGAAGAGATAGGAACCAATCTGTCTCCTAAATGAATCTATTCACAATACCCAGCACGGCATAAATACAGGCAATTTTTCTATTTGGCTGAACCAATTCCAATAGAAACTGTGATAACAAGATGTAGAGCTGGATGAACACAGCAGGCCAAGCAACGTCAGAGAAGCAGGAAAGCTGACGTTTCGGGTCTGGACCCCTCTTCAGAAAGGGTCTGAAGCAATGTTTAAAAGGCGTTAATTTCTGAAGAAGGGTCCCGACCCGAAACGTCAGCTTTCCTGCTCCTCTGATGCCGCTTGGCCTGCTGTGTTCATCCAGCTCTACACCTTGTTATCTCAGATTCTCCAGCATCGGCAGTTCCTACTATCTCCCCCCAATGGAAACTGTGTCTTTTTAAAAGCATATTTCTAAAATCAACCTGTTTGGACATGTTAGGACACACCTCTAAGGAAGGGCATAACTTGAAAATGGGCTTTCTGGCCCAGAAATGGAGACACATTGCAGGTGCAGCAGTGGTGAACAGTAAATGGTATGTTGGCCATCACAGCGTGAGGATTCGAGTACAGGAGCAGGGATGTCTTGCTGCAATTGTACAGGGTCTTGGTGAGACCACAGCTGGGGCATTGTGTGTATCTTTGACCTCCTTCCCTGAGGAAGGACGTTCTGACTACAGAGGGACTACAACAAAGGTTTACCTCTGCTCCTATATTGTGTTTCTAAGAGTTCCAAGTCCCTACCACCCTGTGTGCCTAGAAGCATTTCTTAATTTCACTCCTGCTCCTATTTGCTGTTTGTGTACGTTTCAACTATCACTGTGCCCCAGATCATTGTATTCTTTCCACCAGCTTCTCTTAACAGCGACTGGAGCTTGCACCTACACACCCTCAATTCGCACAGTATTAGCAATTGAAAGCTATTCTCCATAATGCTGACCATGGGAGTATCATTGATAGGTTTTGACACCAATCTGGTTCGCTAATGTCGTTTAGAGAAGGAACTCTGCCGTCCCTACCTGGTCTGGCCTACATGTGAGTCCACACACAAGCAATACGCTTGACCCTGAACTGCCCTCTGAACTGGCTCAGCAAGCACTCACTTCAAGGGCCATTAGGGATGGGCGACAAATGCTGGCCTTGTAACACCTTATGAAAGACGCCTTTGGAATTCTCTAGAGTCATAGAGCTGTACAGCACGGAGATGGAGCTGTCGTTCCAATGCGTCCACGTCAACCAGATATCCTAATCTAGTCCCATTTGCCAGCATTTGACCCATGTGCCTCTAAACCCATCTTATTTATATACCCATCCAGATTTTATTTAAATGTTGTAATTCTACCAGCCTCGGCCACTTCCTCTGGCAGCTTATTTCCAACAAGCACCACCCTCTGCATGAAAAAGTTGCCCCTTAGGTCCCTTTAAATCTTTCCCCTCTCACCTTAAACCTGCACCCTCTAGTCTTGGACTCCCCTACCCCTGGGGAAAAGACCTCGACTGCTCACCCTATCTCTACTCGGACAGCAATGAACGGTCATCTTATTTTTGTCAGAAGTCACACGACACCAGGTCATAGTCCAACAGGTTTACATGCTCCGAAAGCTTGTGATTTCAAATAAACCTGTTGGACTATGACCTGGTATCGGGTGACTTCTGAGTTTGTCCATTCCAGTCCGACACTGACACCTCCGCATCATAACTTACTTTTGTTCATTCATGTGACGTAGACACGGCTGACTGTGCCACCAGTTATTGCTTATCCCTAGATGCCCATGCAAAGGTGAGGGTAAGCTGCCTTCTTGAACCAGCGCAGACCGTTTGTTGGGTATATTCAATACTGAGGTCAATATAAATGTGAAAGCTAAGGGAATCCTGAAACAAGGGGCTTGGCGGGCATATGGTATTGAGGGAGGCAATCAGTACAGATCTTAACGACTTCAAAAACAGGCTCAAAGGGCCAAATGGCTTATGTCTGCTCCTGTTTCCTGTGCACTTGTATTCAATGGGGAGGCGATGGCCTAGTGGGTAACTGGACTGTTAACATTCTGGGTACCTGGGTTCAAATCCTGCCACAGCAGATGGTGGAATTTGAATTCAATAAATATCTGGAATTAAGAATCTAACGATGATTGTGAATCAATTGTCGGGGGGGAAAACACCATCTGGTTCACTCATGTCCTTTAGGGAAGGAAACTGCCATCCTTACCTGGTCTGGCCTACATGTGGCTCCAGACCCACAGCAATGTGGTTGACTCCGAACTGCCCTCTGGGCAATTAGGGTTGGGCAATAAATGCTGCTGAGCCAGTGACGCCCCTCATCCTGTGAATGAACAAAAAGCACTGAGGAGAGTGGTTGCTGTTAAAGTCTAGCTTGGGGGAAGACATGATAGAATACAGCTTTGAAATTAAAATGAAGTATGTGCATGCTTTGATGGAGACAAAGCTCTATTTATATGAATACATATTTCTCTCAAACTCTGTCATTTTTTTCAATGTCTTACCCTGAAGATCCACATAAATGCAATCTATTACCAAACACTTTGTGCCAAAAATTCCCTTGTAGTGTTTCTCTGCCTTTGTGGTGTAGCGTGAGGGAGGGGAGTATGGAAGAATTGACATAAAGAACGAGCCTCCTTAATCTGCCTTCTCCATATAATTCCATGAAAAGTGGTTTCCATTTAAGATCCCGGCTGTAGTTACTCAGCTTGAGGTCACCAGTGGGGACATATGGGAGGTGGAGTTCTGGAATTTTTAACACAATCACAATGAAGGAACGGTCACTACGTGGGGGGATGGGGAAATAAGAGGTGTTTCCATGCATCTGTGGTTCTTATCCTTTCAGTTGTGAGTTTAAACTGTTCAAGAGGTGGCTAACCCATGGAACATTACGGTCAAGCCTTATTCTGAACACATATCTGAATACTTTAGCCAAGTCAATTGGAAGACAGAGACCAGCAGGAGCCTTGGATGAAAAGTACAATTACCATATCTCCTCTCGACCCTGGGTCTAGAGCAATAGGGCCAATTGCTCTGCAATAATTGCCCCATGACATGTGTAGTGTATTGACAGCTGCATTTTGGATTTTGTCCACTTGAGGCTACTATACACACACGTACCAGCAGAGGAAGTATGCTAGGAAGTGATAATAAAGGAGCAACGTTTAACAGCTTGCGCAGTTCTAATTTTAAATGTCTCTGCCTGAATAGGTAACTGTTTCTGTCCTAAAGATTTCACAGCTAAGATTAGGTACATCAGGTCTTGGTCAATGCAGCCGACTTGACAAGCCATCATTCGAGACAGTTTCTCATTACAACATCAAAGCACAGTGTGTACCATCTGCAAGATGCACTGCAGCAGCTCACACAGGCTCCTTCATCAGCACCTTCCATGTACATAAACTCTAGCATCGAGAGGACAAAGGCAACATATACATGGGAGCACAACTCCCTCTAAGTTCCCTTTCAAACCACTCACCATCCTAATTCAGAAATATATCGCCGTTGCTTCACTGTCACTGGGTCAAAAGCCTGGACCTTTCTTCCCAACAGCACTGTGCTTCAAGGACAGTAGTGGTTCAAGGAGGTAGCTCATCATCCCCTTCTCAGGGCCATGTAGGCATTTTTGGATGAGACGGTTAGTACATAAAAGAAAAACAGAAAGAACTGCGGACGCTGTAAATCAGAGACAAAAATATAAATTGCTGGAAGAGCTCAGCAGGTCTGGCAGCATCTGTGGAGAGAAATCTGAGTTAACTTTTTGGGTCAAGTGACCCTTCCTCAGAAGCGAGGAAGTACATAAAAGGGTTAACTGATATCACACAATATACTCTGGCTATCACAATATAAAGGACTGTTCCTGTGAGGAACTAACCAGAGTTGCAGATATAACACAGTGTGCAGCTGGAGGAACACAGACGCCAGGCAGCATCAGAGGAGCAGGAAAGTTGACATTTCGGGTTGGGACTCTTCTTCAGAAAACCAGAGTTGTTCAGTTGTTTCCGAGTTGTGTACCAGAATGTTTCAGGAACTGTAATGTGTACTTACTCTTAATCTGAGCCAGATGTCTCTCAATAGTCAAACATGTATGGCAGATGTAATGTAACTAGCTATTCATTAGTACGTAATAAACGTTTACCTGTTTATTAGTAGCATAGTCCAATACCAATAAGAAATATTCGGAGCAATGAATCTACCGGATGGCAATCCAGATGGTTGAGACATAACATATCATAGATGACGGCAGCTTTGGCATCCGACATTTTAAGGTGGTGCCAATGGTGAGGGTTTCACAGTTATAAGAGGAATGGGCAATAGACTCCTTGCTAATGATGCTCATGTCTCATAAATGAAATATCAGCACAGCTCTGTTTCCAAAGGCCTCAATATTTGAAAAGGCTATTTTACCAAACTATTTGAGACTCCATCCTGCTGAATAACGTAGGGTTTACAACTTTAGTTTATTGTCTTACTGGGGGCTCTTTCACTGCCTCCTAGCTCTAATGTCAGGCTTTGACTCTCTCAGAGTCAGAAGTCTGTAGATTAAATCCTACTCAACATTGAGCTCAAAAATCTAGCCAGGCTTTCCAGTACAGCATTGTGGGAGTGTGGCACCATCAGTACAGCACTTTCATATACTCCTGAGGTTGTGAAAGGCACTATACAATTATACATCCTCTTTTCTCCGACAAACTCGTCCAGTTAAGCAGATGTTTTATCCAGTCTCCGATATATTTACAACCAAACCACATTTAAAGACTAGAAATGTTTGAAGAAAGCAAAACCAAGAATGCAAATTCATTTATTACCACTCCAATAAAAATTTCATGGGTTGAACGACACATCATCCGAGAGAGTAATTCCTGGAAACTCTCGGACAATCCCGAAGCGATCAGCAACCAATTTGGGAACCGATGATGTTGCATTGGAATTTGAAGCTGGAATTAAGATTGGGCTTGGATTCGGAATTCGGAATAGCAACGTTTTTTGCAGAATACCAAAGTCCCTGTGCATGGGGCAAATAGCCCAGGGCTTGTTTTCCTGTCTGCTGCCGTCTGACACAGACTATGGCCTCACAGGACAGGCTGACTTGTTTTTCTTGGCTGGGCCCAGCAGTGAGTGGAGAATGCATTTCCTGCAAACAGAAGAGAGCCATTACACAGTCAATTGAGGTCCCAGCAAACATTTGACCCAACAATGTCAAGAGATTACATCTCAGCCTGGTTCGTTGTGAGGAAACTGCAACCCCACCCCTCCCCCACATTCCTCAGGAGAATGATGGTGTTTTCCTTTGTGATTATTAAAAGAAAGAACCTTAAAGGATGTAGCAATCACTGGCCAGGCCAGCCTTCACTGGCCATCCACTGAGTAAGTTGTTCAGCCATCTCAAAGGGCAATTAGGAATTAACCATGATGCTGTGATTCTAAGGTCACATGTAGGCCAGTAGACGTTCGTCCTGAAAGGAGGAAAAGAACCAGATGGGTTTTCATGGTCACTATCACTGAGACTAACTTTACATTCCAGATATATCTTTTTTTTTTCGGGGGATGACATGAACACAGTCCCCTGCGCCACAAATGTTGCCGTGGAGAATCCCGCATTTGGGGATATTTTGGGCATCAGCACACCAGCAGTGCAATATGCTCACCTCACCCTGGGAGAACCACCTTCATGATCATGGTCTCTCCAAAGCAGGCATATTAAACTTAGGATACATCAGTTGCAGTGGTGGGATTTGAACCTGTGACCTCTGAACATAAGCCTGGGTCTCTGGAATCCCGGTCCAGAGAAGCCACCAATCTCCTTACAACAAAGTGGAATATCCTAAAGCCTACATGGCATTGTTGGTATTGTCCATCACATTGGAAACATCTCACTGGCCATGGGCTTAGGGTTGGCAACTCTGGTTGGCATATTATTGGGTTGCCATGGTCACAATGGGCTTAGGGTTGGCAACTCTGGTTGGCACATTATTGGGTCACCATGGTCACAATGGGCTTAGGGCTGGCAACTCTGGTTGGCACATTATTGGGTCGCCATGGTCACAATGAGCTTTGGGTTGGCAACTCTTGTTGGCACATTATTGGGTCGCCATGGT